TCCAGGGTGAGTCAAGTGGCTCCTTCTCATGGGATAGCTACAAGGGTGTCCGGCCAGTGGATGCAGGCTCCCAGGCTCCGCTGGAGGACTCCAGACTTGTTCCACCTCAGGATTTAGAGCTTTTACAGGATCAGCTCCCCAGATCTGGCTGAAAGAGTACCACCCTCTAACTGGACAGTTCTTAGAAGCCACACACATACAGCTCCTGTGGCCCCTCCCTTCCTATGGGAAAGCTTCAAGGAGCACATTTCTTACTTACAGCAGGGTCCCCCATCTAATCCTGGGGGACTCCCTGACCCGCCCCCACACCCACCTCCTCCCTCAGGCAGCCCGGAGCACTGCGACGGCAGCAGCCTGACGTTATTGTGCCCAGCAAAGTGCCAGCCACGGAACGGGTCCTCCATTAAATCCTGGTCAAGTGACAGAGTCAGGAGATCCAAAAGCACTTAGGGTGTTGGCACAAACTTTCTTCCAAGAGCAAGTTATATTCAAAGGAAGGAAGGAAGGAAGGAAGGAAGGAAGGAAGGAAGGAACGAAAGAAGGAAGGAAGGAGGGAAGGAAGGAGGGAAGGAAGGAAGGAGGGAAGGAAGGGGGAAGGAGGGAAGGAAGGGGGAAGGAGGGAAGGAGGGAAGGAGGGAAGGAGGGGAAAAGAGGAGAGGGGGAAAGAGAAAAGAAAAAGAAAAAGAAAAAGAAAAACCCCATCTGAGCCTGGTGCACATGTACACTCTTTACTTCTACCTTTTTTTTTTTTTTGTACCAGGAATCGAACTCTGGAACTTGCCCTTCCAGGCAGGCGCTTATGCCACTGAGCTAAGGAGAGAAGGTGAAGCCACCCCCTGCTCACCTCCCTACACAAGGAGGGGCTTAAAACCACCAGGCATGCAGAAAACTGAAACTACAGTATGGCAAATGTAAGAGGGGAGGGGACTGCGTAGCTACGCGGGTGTGAGGCTGTGGTGGGGACACAGAACCCTCCTGGGTGGAGCAGGCTGCGTGGCTCTTTGGGCAGCGAAGAGGACGGCCCTCCCCCTTTTGGGGGGCTGCTCACCCCCGTAAGCAGTGACATCTCAAAGCCTCCTCTCACTTTTCAAAGGTGTTTCTTTTTTTCTTTTCTTTTTGCCCTTCCCTTGTGGTACTGGGGTTTGAACCCCGGGCCTCCGAACTAAGCTACAGTCCCAGCTCTTTTTTATTACTTGTGTTGAGACAAGGTCTCCCTAAGCGATCCAGGCTGGGCTTGAACTCGCAATCCTCTTGCCCCGGGCTCCCAGTGTGCTGGGATGATAGACAGGCGCCACCACACCCAGCTCAGAGGTTTCTTTTTGCTTTTTAAAACCAACTTCCTACACTAAAAAGCGGGGATCAGCACCCTTCGTTTTGAAGAGAACAGTCTGCTAAATGATTTTTTTAAAGACCCACTTTGCATCTTTTGACTACAAATTTTTCAAGCATACACTGGGTTTTCAAAGCTACGCGTCAGAGGGGGACTGGGTCCTCACAGGACTTTGGGAATAGCTGGGGGCATCCCTGGGACCATGCACGCAGCCTGGTCCCCTCTCTGGAGCCTTCCCTGCCCTCCTCGGCCCCCACAAACAGTGCGGAGTCCTTGCTGGCGCCCGCAGGGCTGCATTCTCCCTTCCTGCTCGGTGCTTCAGCTAGCTGCTTCTCCTGGCCTCTCTCTTGATCTCCACCGCTCCCTATCTCCACATCTGCTTCTATTTCTGTACTGCTGCCCCGCGCTGGGCTTCTCACATGGCCCCGGGGCTGGCCCCAGCCAGGGCCAGCAGCATCCCCTGAGAATCCGCAGTGGCGCCCATGAGCTGGTGACTGGGCTTGGGGCTCGCACCAGGACAGCGTGTCGACCCCGGGGAGGGAGTGGCAGATAGGACATGTGGACACTTCCTACGTGACCTTCTCTGCACCCGCAGAGCACGGCAGAGCCTTCTGCAGAGCCGCGCATGACCAAGCCGTGCACCAAGTAGGGCTTCCGCTGTCCAAAGCCTGGCTCCACCACTGAACAACTGTGAGGACAGTTTCATGACCTCACCTCGATGTATCCATGACCTGCTTCATACCTCTCTTGTGAGGGTTAAATTCATTAACACATGTTCAGCGCTGGAGTCAGGGTCTCACCTGCAGTAAATGCTCACTGCGGCTTTATTATTATCTTGGTAAAACATGGGCTCACGAGGGTGAGATTTGTCGGCTGTTCTGTTCTTGTGCACCGGGCCTGGTCTGTTGTACGTGCTCAAAAAACATTTCTTGAATGATCAGTGAAAAGATAAGAACACACAGCCTGAAATGGACAGAGATTCCAGCAAGAGCCTCTTAACTCCTCCCCCGACCTTGGCTCTTGCCGGCCCCTCATGGAGCAGCCAGAGCAGGGTCCTGCCAGAGGCTGAGTGGGATCGTGTGTCTTTCCTGGTCTCTTCTCTGGCCCAGCCCCGCATGCTCTGGACCCTTGCTACTTCTATTCCCTCTGCCTTTATGCCCCAGTCATACTGGCCTCCTTCAGCTCCTAGCGTGAGGTCTATTCCTTGTGCCCCTGGGCATTTGAACATGCCACTCCCTCAATGCAGCCTCAGCTTGGGTCTCTTCCTAAGGGAAACCTTAGCCGATGCCCTTCCCCCATCTGCATCAATGCCTCAGCTTTCCACGTCCAAAGTTCCTACACCCGTCCATTCCACCAGCCACTCCTAATCCTTCTCCCACTTGTCTGATTAGTCAGTGTCTCTCCCCACTATGAGCTCCATGAAAGAAAGCCCATGGCTCCTCACTGCTCCTTGTATTTCAGCACCACAGGACACAGCATAAACACAGGAGGCTCTCAACACATGCTTGCGGAATGAGCTGAATGGATAGACTAAGCCAGAAAAGACCTCCTGGGCCCTGGCTTCCCAAGCCAGGAGTGCCAGAGCTCGGGCTCCTAGCCTGGTTCTGTACAGGATCCTGGCAGCCTCCCGGAATAGACTTTTCTGCCAGTCTGCTCTGAATGAGTTTCTCCATCATTTCTAGAAGCTCTGATTCTGACAGTCTCACAGCAACCTGCAGCCCAGGCAGCCCCCTCGTAAGACAGGTCAGTGCGGCTCAGTAATGACAGGAAGACTTTCTTTGCAAAGGCTACAAAGACAGTGATAATAGACAGACCATCACTCCACCAACACAGGACGAAAGTCGCACTCAGGACCCAGCATCAGGCTGCAGCCCTGGCGGGAGGAAGCCCATGTTCTCCCTGGGCCCGCTGCCCAGGAAGGGACCTCCTCCCCCACCACATGCAGGGCTGGGCCTGGAGCAGACATGCGGGTCCCAGTGAGCTGGGGGCAGAGTGCAGCTTCCCAGGCCGCAGAAGCAGCTGCAATCCACGGACATCAGAAGGGAGGAGGCGGCTCTGGAGCCCCGGAGGCCTTGGCCAAGGGTCAGGCCGAGTCAGCGCAGGGAGAGACCACGGGGCTTACCAGAGGGAGCTGCCATAGGGTGGATGGAGGACTAGAGGTGGAGCAGGGCCAGCACAGTGTAGCTCCAGCCCACCAGTGTGGAGAGCCCCGCACCAAGCATCCACACTGCCAGGCCTCCGGCGTAAGCATGCTCCTTGGAGTAAGGCACTCCAGTCCTGCCAGCCAGGGCCTGTAGCCAGTCCTCAACTAGATCCACACAGAAAGGAATTTAAAGGTTGAGCTCCATAGTTAGAAATGACTTGGGCCCTCCACAAATCCATCCTCACAAAATAAAATATAAAATGCACCCTGCACAAGTTCAAGGAGATCAGCCAGTCACTGCACTGCCTTTAGGAGGAACATAACAAAATCCACAGTCACTACAAGATTCAAGATACATTATTATCACAATGCCAGAGTCAGTAATTACTGTCTATACAAAGACAGAGAAGATGTGACTCATAGTCAAGGAAAAAAATATCAATGAATAGAAACAGATTCTAATATCACTGCAGTGTTAGATTTAGAAAAAGCAATTTCCAGGATTTATAAGTTCTTACTATTACCCCAGAAGTCCTTAACCAGGGGTGTACACACCAAAGACCTTGTGGAGATTTTAGAGTTTAGAGTTTTTGTTTGTTTGGACTTTACTCATGTTATATATAGTTTTTAAGTGTTTTTCAAAGTTCCCCAAAATCTGCTCCAAGGGTTCTGATATGCACAATGGATTACGTTTTCTCTCAGAATATTTCACTTTAAGGGACACACACACACACACACACACACACACATACACACATACAAGTTGCATTAATATACATATATTGGAGATTCTGGTTGTTCAAGCTGGTTGGTGGGTGGACATCAGTCAGTAGTTCCTGGTTAACCAGACCATACAGTTACCAATAATATTTCACTCTAATCATTTGGAGAAAAAAGCATACTTCTCCACTTATTTGGAAAAAAAGTACTTCTCAAGTTACACCAAATGACAAAGGATACTGATTAAGAAAAAACAAGAAAGCGCTCGCAACTATAAAGTTTTTCAAAATCAGAGTTCAAATTACATGTTCATTACAGTATCAAGTATATATAGTAAGAGAACAATGTTTGTGGCTAGAAAAAAAAAGATTACAGGTAATATATCAAAACGCTGATAACAATTGTTTTAAATAATTTGATTATATGCCAGTTTAATTTTTCTTACTTTCCTGTATTTTCCAAGAGTCTTGTTTTTCCTCGATAGACTGTTACCTAAAACTTAAGGGGATGCTTTAGAAACCTTCTGTCAACAGATAAACTTCTGCACAGTGCTAACCATTTCATCATCAAGAAGAACAGGGAAGAATCTTGCATGTGAATATCATTTTATTCTGATCTAGTTAAAAAAAAAAAAATACCTTTCTTCTCAGGTTTTTGATAGCCAGATTAGCTTCTGACCCTAATCGAACCTCAAAATGTCTCATTCCTCAGAGGAGTCAAAGGCCAAGACACACACCTCAGCCTTAGATGCTACAAACAGCAGCTCAGGAATGAACCACCTAGCGACAAAGAAGAAATCGGTCATACCTGCACCACAGGGTGGCCTCCTGTTGGAGCTTTGACAGCCCCTCGGCTGCCCTCTGTCTCATAGTGGGCCCGGTGATGGGGCTTGGGCTGCACCTCAATCCGCAGCTCGTAGGAACCCGACTGATTGGAAAGTGGCCACTCAAGTGGAGGGAGGGATGCAGTCACTGGGATGCTGAGAAAGAAAAGGAGACAGTCATGTGCACAGTAAACCAGAAGCAGTCATCCACTTATGTACAATAAATATAAATGGCCCCTTTTCCTGGAAATTGTGTTCAGTGGTACATGAACAAAACGCTGGGTGTTGAGGAGCTTTGTATTGACCGAACATGACAGGCAAGGCTCTTCTTAAGGTAGACATCTTTTTCTTTGCTTTTTTCTTTCATCCTAATGAAGACAAGGAGACCAGCTTTTCCATGTATGCAGCTCATTTTATTATATGTCAGTTCCACCATGCGTCTGGTTGCTGTTGATGTGTCCTTTGGGAATTGTGAAGAACAGCACCCCCACCCCTCAAAGCACTCATTGGCAAGGATACTTTCCTTTTCCAGAGGATTAAGGTGGGACAAAGACTTAAGGGCAATCTGGAGAAACACATGTGTCCCTCACTGGCCATGGGACTTTAAGCAAGAACTTTGTCTCTCTTACTCCTAGTTTCTTATAACTTATAACATGGCGAACCAAACAGGTGGCATCTGACCACTGTTACAGCTCATATTTTTGATGATCTCATCTAGAAGTGTATTTAAGGGAGAGGTTATCCTCAGCCACGATGATTACTAACTGGATCAATAAATGATGGGTCATCTAACTACATAAAGGTCTCTGGTTTGGGCGTGGATGAGTCAAACCATTCAGCCCTCCTAACATTAAATGAAGAGCAAATCTCAATAATATGACTAGAGTTACACGCTCAAGTTCAAGTTCCAACTTTACCTCCACTATCTGGGTAACTCTGAGCAGATACCTCTAACTCCGTAGGCCCTAGTTTCCTCAATCATGAAATGAGATACTGAAATCATATAAAGAGTTTATCACAGAAAGTGCTCGATAGATATTAATTGTAATATTTTTCCTGTAATACGTTCTGTTATTTTTTATAAACTCTCTAACTTGGTTATGGTATCAGAAATATATAACCTTCATATCTGTCTGTAAAATCTTTGAGGGGATGCCTTGCATTCCATTTTCTTATATAGGCTCAATGCTGCCTACCATACAATAGGAGTTTGACATATATGCTTAGGATTACATCACCGAGGAGCTGACCAAGGTCTGGAACATCTGTCTAAACTACTCCCCGCTTTACAGAACAAAAAGATATTTCCTCAAGACAAGAGAGTAAGACACAGTCCAGGCTTCAACTTTGGTCTCTTGACTCCAAGTCCACGATGTCACTCATCCCTCCACAGTGCCTCTTAATTTGCTAATTTATTTGAATAAATCCAAGGAAATCTCATTTATAGAATTGCTCTAGAACTATTCCTGCCAGTGAATACTCAGTGGGTGGGGGGATGTGTGGATGAACAGATGGATAGATACGTGAGTAAATGAATGAATAATGAATGAATGAGTGAGCAAGCAGCTTTATTTCAAATAAATCTTGACTATCCAAAGCAGCTTTGAAGTTGCATATGCATGGATCTGTGTCACTCTGCCTTGATTCTTCACGGTGGTAGAAATCATTCACCCGATCAGAGTATTCATTCCCACTTAGCTTAAGTTGTAAGAAGCTGACATTATCAACTGGACTGAGTGAAGCCCCAACAATGAAGCCAGTCCCATCCCAGTTTCTACCACCCAGGGGCTGAGATCAGCAGAGGTGGGGGCAGTACCTCCCTCCTCCCTGTCAGTGTCAGAGTCCAACTTTTTTTTTGTCTTTTTAAGACAGGGTCTCACTATACAGTTCAGGCTGGCCTTGAAGTCACTTTGTAGCCCAGGCTGGTCTTGAACTCGCAATGATCCTCCTGCCTCTGCCTCCCAAGTGCTGGGATTACAGGCATGCACCACCACACCTGGCAAAGTCCAATTTAAACATACAGTATAATCCCACTCAAAACTGCACCCTCACTGTGTAAGAGTACCTCCATCCTTCTTTCCAAGCACCCTGTACCCTCCTCACCCCGAAGTTTCAGGGTGGTGAGGTACCTTCCCTTCCACCTTGGTGACAGTGTAACCGGCTTCCAAGACCTGCCTGCAGCCAACATGACACCCATGTTAAATACACCTATTTCTATCACGCATGCAAATTTGAACTTTTAAGTTTACAAAATAAGATAAAAAGAAAAAAAACACCCACTTCAACCCTGAATGGATAAATCTTTTAAAGTATCAAAGTTTTTTAGTGTGTCAAAGATTTACTGCGATATCACCAAGTTCTAATTCCTAACCTTGCTTGGTTCTGAAATAGGTATCTGACATGGAAGGACAACTGTATGAATTAGACCACCAGAGCCAGCCTGAAGTCCTGCACTTTCATTCTAGCCCTGTTCCAAGCTGTTCTCAGCTCCCCTCATGAAATACATGTCACCGTGAGGGTTCCCCCTAATACCCACTCTGTCGACCTTACAGGAAATGTTTCCAATATCGGATGAGTTGGCACAGATTGGAACCAACTAGGGCCTAAAGGACTCTAACACTTAGAACCTCTCAGATCAAGCAGCAGGATGGGGAAGAGAGGATTTTACAAACAAAATATCACATAGATTTATTATAATCGTATTTCATACCGACCCCCTCACCCTGAATCACCAGATAAAATCATGAGTTCATGACTGACCTCTAGCAAAAAGAAAAAAAAGGTAGGAATCTCATAGTCTACTTCCCAATGTAGCCACCAACTAGCTGGTGATTTTAGGCTTGTTGCTTCACCTCTCTGAGCCCAAAAGCTTAGTCTATACCAGGGGTCAGCCTAGAACCACATTTCCTAAGGAGGCTCTGTGAAACTTCAGTCCCAGAACTCGGAACTCTGGAGCCAAACGGTCTTTGAAATCACTGCCCATCTGCGTGCGCTAAAGGCTCAGAAAGGCCTGCACCAGGCCACCATGACCTGGGTTCAACCCAGAAACTTAACACCAAATAACCCACAGTGGCACTGGAGTTCTGGAGCCTGCATGAGAGGAATGCTAGACTGGATGCTCCCTTCAATCTGTTTTGGTCTGGTGCAGGGAGGTTCAAAGCCCACTGGGCAGGGCCCATGGCCATCCTCATCCCCACATCAATCAAAACCGCGCTACTTTCATCCATTATAGCCTTCAACTCAACAAAGGTTTCCTTTCGCTAAAGCAAAAAGCGAGTCTGAGAACCACAGGGGCAATAATGATAGCATCAGCCTTCCAGGTCTTCATCCAATAGAGTGGAGAGGACAATATCTGCCCTTGGCCTGGTCACCTCCTTCTCCTTATCATCTCAATGAAAACAAAAAAAATAATGCTAAATAATGCCAAACCACGTTCAGGTAAGAATTAAATGAGACAACACATGCAGAGCACTTGCTGCCACACAGCCAGCATCCCTCACGTTTAGTGGCTATTAACGTCGTCGTCATTACTCTAAATGCTAGCCATGACTGATGCCAGCATCACTTCTGTAAAGGCTACTCAACTTCAATCCCCTAACATAAGGCCTATCAATGAGAAAGCACTTCTCTAACAGTTAGATTCTTCTAGGATAGCAGCCATTCCTTTTCTGACTCTTACTTTGTTCAGGCTCTATGCCAAGAATGTCATTTAACCTAATCCTCAGGGAAAATGGCTACAAGGCAGGTACGATTATTACCCTCCTCTCATGGGGAATGAAACAAGGCCAGACAGAGGCTCAGTAATAGTAGGTGGTCCTGATTGATTAGTGATGTCTGTCTGCTCTAGGTGCAGCATCAAGGTGGTCAGTGAGACAGTCTTTATTGATTAGCAATGTCTGCCACAGGTACAGCATCAGGAGGTCAGCATCAGAGATGCCCAGGATCATACAAGCAGCAAGAACCAACCAAAGCTCAAATTCAGTCCTCAGCAATCTCAAAGCCTGTGTGCTGCTATCTATATGCATCTCTTAAAAGCGCCAAGATCTTAGCTTCTTGAGGACTGAGACTGATGCATTTTATCGTTTTAAATCCTCCATATCACTGAGCATAGTACCAACACATATAGCAGATACCAACAAATTCCAGTTCTTCCTATAAAGAGGTAAACTCTGCATACTAAGGCTTGCTGTGTGCCTGCTGGAATGTCAGCTCCATAAAGACACAAATTTTTGCCTGTTGCATTCACTCTTGTCTTCCCAGTACCTATAAAACAACTAGCACAATCAGTGCTATATGAGCAGTCATTTGGCTATGACTCCCTAATCACCACTTGCTGGTTGGGGGCACTGATGATACCCATTCTACAGATGTGAAAGCTGTGGCTCAGGACATTTAGATTCCCTCTCAGGCTCTTGTAATCAGCAAGTGGCAAAGCCAGGACTTCAACCAGTCCACACAATTCTAAATTCCATGCTCGTGACCAGCTAAAACCAATTCCTGGGACAGATGACTTGCAAATCCCCACTCACCTGCAGATGGGAATGGCAGGCACCAGCTGCTTGGGCCAAGTTGGTGGCACCAGCAAGATGGACTCTGGAGCTGAGTTTCTCCTCTCCTCTTGCTCGCAGGACCCTAGGAACTCCACGGTGGGGTAGATGTGGCGGGGCAGGCCGGCCTTGGCAGGGGCAGCAGACACTGGCGACGGGTCTGGGCTGGTCTTCCACACCTTGGGGGGAATCCCACAGGGCGAGTCCGTGGCGAGGCTGTTCAGGGCATCCATGAGGACGGCGGAGCCAGCTGTGGGGGGGTACCCAGCGGGGGCACCGTCTTCCCTGGGGGTCACGTGAGATGAGGGCTGTGGCGAGGGGCTCCGGGAGCGCTGGGGTGAGGCTCCGGGCAGCGGGGCAACCAAGGCCTCTGCACACGAATGCCTCCGCTTGGCACCAGGTGACGAGGAGCGGGAGGCCGGACGGGGCACGGGCGAGTGGCGGCCCAGGCAGCTGTCCTCGGCGAGACTGGTTCGAGGTGACATTATTGGCGAGGTTCTGGGGGAATAATGAGCAGGGATGTTTTGAAACTGGGGACACAGGTCGTCTGGCCCGCCGTTATTGGGCGAGACGCAGGGCGAGGTGTAGGGGGAGAAGGTGTCGGAAATGAAGCTGGCAGAGGAGCCGCTGCTAGCGGGGCTCAAGCAAAGCGGCTCGCGGTAGCCATCGAAGCCGGGCACAGGCAAGGTGAACCTCGGGCTGGCGGCCACCCCAGCCAGGGCCGGCTGCTCCAGCAGGAGGCTGGTGTCTCTCATGTGGAGGGGCACCCCTGCCTGCATCAGTTCGTGGGACGGAGTGATCTCGATCCGAGGGCTCAGGCCCGAGGCCCCCGCTGGCTTGGCCGGGCTCAGAAAGTTCTGGGGCCCTACCCTATCCGGCTCTCCAAACCGGCCGGGGGGCTCGCCAGAGAGACTGGCGAGGGGGCTGTATGGCTTGAGGCCACAGTCCGGGACATCATCGGGGTATGCGAGTCCGGAGGGTGGGCTGGCGACCTTATGTGCATTCGGTTCTTCTGGAAAGAGAAGGGGGGAAGGAGGGGTCTTTTAAGCCTCTCAAACAGAACTCCCGTGCACAGCAATCACAGGCTGGGCTTTTCTCTGCTGCCATTTATCTATTTTTTTAATCTCCATCATGACAAATCCCAAAGTAGAGCCTCAGGCCATCACCTGGGGGAAAGTGAGGCTACTCCACCCCTGATCCTTGAAGCTGCAGATCAGAGAGGAACAAGGCGTCCAGATGTGCTGGGTTAGTGGGAGGCTGAGAGAGCCTCAGCAGAAACTCACGGATGCCACAACCCAGTCCACACTCCCCGCGCGCCTGCAGCTGAGAGGGTACTTACCCTGCTGCACCTTGGCCGCCTCTGGCCTCCCTCCTGACTGGGGTTATTTTATGTCACTGTTGGTCACAACCCACTAAACGACTTCCTGTCCCAGCCGTCATGACCCACTGTTTGAAAAACACTCATCTAGGTCCTTCTTGTCATTCTACGTGTACGATGTGGACATAGGACGCAGAGGGGGCCTGCAGGGGCTCTGCGTCCCATGGAGCTCCGCATCTGAACCCTACACGTTCACACTCAAGTATAAGTAGTAGCTTAATATAGAACCAGGACTCGTGTCTCATCTGGGTCATTTTACAGTTGAGGGCCCAGGAGGGGAAGGGATTCACCAAGACATAGAATGAGCAGGCTCAGAAATCCTGCAGACCCCCAAAGCAGGATGGTGGCTGCAGAGTGCCCAAAGCTATGAACTTTACAGCCAGTAAAAGTGGAATTACCTAAGTTCTCTACTCACGGCATCTACCCCAGGCTTCTGCCACCTTGAAAATACCACCCCCCCCAAACAGATACACGCTGCAGAATGTTGTTCCGGATTGTTCCGTGTCAATCGCATAAAGACATGGCCACCCCCAAACTTACACTGTCCTTCAACCCCAAGCCTGACTCCTCCTTGACAGACACCCCCTCTTGCTGACTTAGGTCCCTCATCGGATCCCGTATGGCACCAAGCACACGGGCTCCTCGGAAATCCCTGTGCAGTTAGCAAGGGAACGCTCTGTCCTCACCCTGCCCTGTCTCGGGGCTCCTCGCCCTGCCTTCTCCATCAGTAACGGTGACATGAGCCAGCCTGGCTCCTTGTTGTCATGCCTGACATCCCAGCCATCAGCACACCCTGACTGCCCCACTGTCAATGCATAAAAGGTCCACATGTCATCCAGGGTTCATACCCCCAGCCTCTCCCATCTGAGGTCCCTCCTTTCCCCCATGTTCCGGTCTCCAGGTAGCAGCTTGTGAATCAGCCATTCTAGACGCCCTCCAACAAGGCTTCCTGGACAATTAGATGGGACCTAAAACCATGAACACAGCTTGCTCCTGACCCCAGGCTATCTCACCTCCCCACCTCTCCACCCTCCCCAAGCTGACTCTGATGTCGTCACTAGTTTCCCAGCAGCTCCTGCCCTGAGTCCCTGTGCCTGCCCCGTCTCCCTGGAATACCTTCCACTGTCACTTCATTCCCACATCTGCTCAACCAGAACCTCCTCAGCTTGGCCCATCAGAAAGGACATCTCTACCCACTCCCTACCATCTCTCTCCATTGGCACACTGACAAGCTCCCATCACATCAGCTATTAATCTGTTGAGGGAACCATCCTGCTAAACCACAGACAGGCAAACTACATCCATGTGGCCCACAGATTGTGTTTGTAAATAAAGTTTTATTGGAACACAGCCACACCCACTTATTTACACAGGGCCTCGGCCTGGCTTTTGGGCTATAACAGCAGAGCTGGGCATTGTGATGGAGACTATACAGGCCACAAAGCCTACAAGACCTCCTATCTGGACCTTCATGAATGCCTGCTGCTCTACATTGGGCTCAGAGATACCCCACGGCTAGATCCATGTCTACTGTGGTTCTGCGTTGTCTGCCAAGCACCTGCCATTGGGCCTGGCACTTGCAGACCCTCCGTAAACATCTGCTGAGTGGCTGGAAGAAAAAATAAATGCAGGGATCACATCCACAGGCTGCTGGCCAGGAACAAGACCTCTTCCTGAAACCACATCACAGTCTCTTGCTTCAGGGCTCTGGGGTGGACACCCGGGCCATCCTCAACCTCCTTATGCCTTTTCTGGACACTTGACACAGTCCAACTTGGCTGTGCTGATCTCAGGGGACTGGACGGAGCCCCTCTCCAGATGAGCATGCCCACAGCACTATCCCACAGCTCTTAGAGCAAACATAAATAACCTCGATGAAGCCAGGCTTGTGCCTGCCAACCTCACCTCTCCTCTCACCTCCCTCTCACCCTTTCTCCCTGGACTCCAGCCATAATTGGAGTTTTCAGAAAGCACCTACCTCAGGACCTTTGTACTTGCTATCTGCTCTGCCTAACCAGCTCCTGCCACCCACTTCTCTATATAACTACAACCCACTCATGCTCATAATTTCTCAATATTCTCAGGGCTCCTTGGCTGTTTCCTGTATTTGGGGAGTATTTATTTATTGACTGCCTCTCCCTCCAACAATGAGTAAATATCCCTGGCACCTGGCTGGTTCCTGCCCACAAATGGGTAGCACGTCTGGCATAAAAAGGGGGCGTGTGAGAGAATACGTGCGTGCACTTGGGCACACAGACAGCAGATGGATGTGTGAGCTTCTCTGCTGGTCACAGACAAGTGACTTCCTCCAGCAAGGCAACCTGAGTAATCAGGGGACCATAGCATGGCAGAAAGGAAATGCTGACTTCTGTTTTATGTAGAGAAAAGAAATTCTCCTTTTTTTTTGGTACCAGGAATCAAATTCAGGACCTTGCACTCGCCAGGCAAGCACTTGTGCCGCTGAGCTAGATACCCAGCCCTCTCCAAACATTTTTAAACTGTATTGTTGTGGGGGGGTCAGAATGATAATGAAACCTTGGTTTACGAAGCAGGAAGTTGAGAACCGAGTCCTGCTCTGCCTCTAACTAGCTGTGTGACTCTGGAAAAGCCCCCACCCACTCTGTGCCTCCACCTTCTCACTTAGAACAGAACAGTGCGAAACCAAATCCGTCTTTTCTGCTGCTTTTGGCTCTGACACCTTTGCTTTTCTGACACCACAGCAGGGCCTGCAGTTCCCGTGAAGCGTAGCCGTGCAAATTTGCCCCTGCACTCACACAAGTGTGGTATGCACACGCCCCCCCCAGCAGGTAGCAGAGCATGGGCCTGGGGAAAGACTGGCGTCAGATCTATGTCTGACGATATCTTGAGACTAACAGCCCTGCAAGCATCACACGTTCCTGAGCAGAAATGCTAATTCTATCAGGAAAGCTGCACGGCAGCTGATCAGAAACGCCCCTTGGGTCGATGTGGGTGACACAGAAAGGCAGCCTGGAAACCCAGCCCCTCCCCGGGAGCCCAAAGAGCTTCAAAGTCCTGAAGCATTCACACTGGCTTTAATTAGTCCACACGGCAGTTTTTCTTTTCTGTTTTTCTCTCCTCTCCCCAAGCCTGTGAATGTTTAACAGCAAGCAGGGACTATGAAAGTAATTAATGATCACTGACTTCTCAGTCCTCTGGGTATTTGACAACAAATTTCACAAGTGGTGCATCATTAAAATATTTCTTTAAGTGGCTGAGATTCCTTGCTACTTCCGCCACAAGGACAAGGGCCCCGCAAGCTCAGAGCTGCTGTCGACACACATTAGGTGCATCTCAAAGGCACCAAATTTTCTCCGGAGGGATCCAAGACATCTTGCTTTTCTTTCCACTTTTGTGATCTCTGCTCTACCCTGCACCACCGGTAAGTAGTATTTATTCAATATTTCTATTTATTTTTTTTGTTTGTTTGTTTGTTTTTTTGTTTTTCTCCGGTACCAGGAACCGAACTCACGACCTTGCACTTGCCAGGCAGGCGCTTTTGCCGCTGAGCTAAATCCCCAGCCCCTCAATATTTCTATTTAAATTCACTCACCTATTAATTAATTTAAAAGGAACTTTTACACCGGTACCACAAATGGAAAATCAGTGTCACCTCCACAAATAGAAGGTAGGGTAAAAATATAATAAAAAGAAAAGTTACTAAACTCAAGCGCACCAGTGGGAGGCCAAGCCTCTGAGCCCCAGCTGGCTCCCCGTCTTAAATTCTTCTGTTTGTTTTTTGTACATGGTATTAAACCCAGGACCTTAGCGCTGAGCTACATCCCTGGCCCTTTTTTATTTTTTTATCTGGAGACAGGGTCTTGCTAAATCACTAAGTTACACACACTGGCCTTGAACCTGTGATTCTCCTGCCTCAGGCTCCCAGAGTGCTGGGATCACAGGCAGGCATCGCCATGCCTGGCTTTCCTCTCCTACTGAGGTTGAACTACACCGAGGTAGAAGTGCTGCTATCAAGATGTGGCACATTTCTGTGACCTCAGAGTCTACCTGTGCTAAGCCCTGGAGGTAGGGGAGGGATACCAAGGGGGGGGTGTGAAAGGCACGGCAGCACACCACCGAGACATCGCTGCTGCTGACAACCTCAGAGAGAGCAGCACTAAGGAAGCCAGCTGCCACCCTGTGCTGTGTGCCAGCCGTGGGCGACCTGCCAGGGGAGATGCCAGCATCCAAAAGGAAGAAGAAGCTGGAAGCTGTTTCGGGGGAAGTCGGGACTGCTCGCAGTCCTCTGTGCCTCTTGCTCACAACTCGCTTCCGTTGCTCCCGACTTCCCCGTGCCTAACTCGCGCCACCTCGTCCTGGCGGTCCCCCAACTCCCCAGGCTAGACTGGGCAGCTCTTCTCTGCCCCAGATCCTTCCGAGTCCGGTCTGGAGTCTGCGTGTAGACTGTCTGCCTCCTTCTCCTCTGCACTGCATACTTTTTGAAGAGCAGTGGGGGGTCTCACGAAGAAGTGGATTAACTTGCGCCGAGTCCCACCGTCGGAATTAGCATCCCTGTGCAACAACCCCGTGCACCAGGCATTCTCCACCGCAGAACAACTGGCATGCCGGGTGGAGGGTACGCGAGGGGGTGCTCAGCAGCACCCCTGGCCTCTACC